ATTAATTTCAAGATAAAAAGTTGACACGTTTGCGAAATGATAAAATAATAGAAAGTCTTAATTGAATCGTAAAATGTATTCTGCGTTTTTCTTTTACAAGAAAGAGAAATTTATCAACGGCAAATATTTTTTTGCTTCATAAATTAATTTTTCCAACCCTTAATATAAGATAAATCATTACAAACAATTTGTTTACATTTAATTTTATACAGTATAGCTCATTTATTTCACAAATTAATTTCGTTAGAATATTAATTCGTAATACAAGCACAGAGAATCGTTAATAAGAGAATCATAAATTACAAAATCGCGCAGTTTTTAAATTTACTTTCCCAATGTTATATACTTTTCCGATTCAACTAAATTGTTAAATGTTTTCAAATTTTTATCATACAGTACAAACCAGTGCGGACGGAATATTCTGAACTTCTCGGTCGATTCTTATAGTCGACGCCTACTTTTCCTCTTCTTACCGCGCGCACCGTATCAAGCTAGGGCCAGCGTCGCGGAGCGTCATGAGCGGCGCTATTCGATTAATAAGTGGGTTCTTCTTCTGGAAGGACCCTCTGGTTATTTAAATTTGAGAAAATTTATATAAAGAATTAGACGTTTATTAAAAATATTGAATGTTTAATTCTTTATCAATTTTCTTTAATTGAAACAATTAGCGTTCCAATAAAAAAATCCGCTCATTAATCGGATCGCTCATGATGCTCGGCGGCGCTGACCCTAGCTCGTTACGGCGCGCGTGGTAAGAAGAAAGTAGGCGTCTACCACAAAATTGGCCGACCATAAAATTGGCCGAGCAGTTCAGATCACTAGTGTATAAGAGAATACGGAAGGTACGCACCAAGAGATACACATGTTATAGAACATGCACTAATGCGTATCTCTTGTGTACCTTTCTCGAAGAAGATGAATTTTGAGGATCAGAATAATAACACCCCTTTGCGTGGAGATCGGAATCAACGGAGATATCGCAGAGCCGAGCCATTGAACAATAGGGAGTCTGTGAGTTTTTACGTCTTTCTTGCAAATCCTTCCGGTCTTCCTCCAGATCGACGTAATGAGTTGGACTCTTTTGGGATTTCCAAGGGCATTGCGTTCATTTCGAGGCACATGCCGCATAGAAACCCCAAAACCGCCTCAACATTTACTTTGATTATTTTTCCAAAAATCGCTTTTTATTGATATAAGAGAAGCACGATTCCAATTCCGATGTAAAACCTATTAATTCTGAAATAAATGACATCGGTATCTTCTTGACTTGTAGTTTTCGCACATTTTATCTATCTTTTGTATTCAATTTTGCAGAAATGGTAATGCTATCATATATTGAAGCGATTATCATTGTATATCCTGTATTTAAGTAGATCATCGCGCATACGGAGTTTGCCGTGATCAAGACATTGTCATCGAAAAAAGCGTTTAGCACCGCGTTAAATTATCGTTGCACTTGATGAATCTCATGCAAATGCTCATTGCATATAATTATATCGACAAATATTATTTCATAGAATATTCGAGTCTTTAAAGATCGTCAAAGGACCATCGAAAATCTCGAAAACCGTTGTTGTTTGTCAAAAAAAGCAACCTGTAAACACGAGCTAATAACAATGACTTAAGATAGCCTTGATCGCGGCAAGCTCTGTGCGTGATTATTGTATCGCAGTCCATCATAGTTTATTCATGGTAAATCGAATGCTATCGTTAAAGAAGGACCTTTATAGCTATTAAATTTGGAGTAAAAGAGATTTTGAAAAGTGTCTATTTGGCAAATATCAAACTTTGCGACCGAATGGCCCGCATTGCTCTTTTTATTTTGCTTCGTAGTTAAATTGAAGGCAATTATATATTGCGAACGCACAATGATATTTAGCACAAATTCAGCGACGATCACTGTAAAAAACTGTGTAAAATTACAATAATTAGTGAATAATAATGGATAATATTGAAACCAACAATTGCAAACATAAATTTCCGCATATAGATTTACACACATTAGAATTTAAAGATATATTTAATTTTTTATGTTAAAATTTCACAGATTGATAAGCAAATTTACAATTAAATACAAAATTTATCAAAATGATAATGTAATAATACTCTTTGTGTAATTATATTATTACAAAATTTTAAATTTGCAACAGTAAATGTAAATGTACAAAACCATTTAATAATTATTTACGCAATAATTTTAATATAATAAATTGAAATATGTATTTTACGACCACGATATATATCTTTACAATACGTTTTTTGTGATAGAATTCTTTATGTTTTTCTCATATTTCGTTTCAAATTATTAAATATGTTATCTACTTAAATGCAGGATACACAATGATAATCCTTTCAATGTATCATAGCATTATTATTTCTGCAAAATTGAATACAAAAGATAAATAAAATGTGTGAAAATTACAAGTCAAGAAAATGTAATATATATAATGCTCAACATGCTTGAAGCGTGACTGAAGAAATAATTATTTATCTTGTTCAAACGCTAAACCTTTTCGTTGAATTTTGGAGAAATAAAATTTGTATCAGCAACAATATGCTAAATTTCTAAAATATACATCAACAATAAAATTAATGGATCGCTAAATTTCTGTATTTTATTTCTGTAAGTCGATTTTCCTCGAAGAGAAAAATGAATATTATTAATTAATTTTTAATTATTTAATATATTTTTTATTGCTTGACATATGTTAATATATATATATATTGTGTGTGTGTTTTATAATATAAATATATTACACCACACATTATATAATATATATTAACATATATTAAGCAATAAAAAATTAATATTATAAAAAAAATATTTATACATCTGTTTTTCAAGCCTAGATAGTTCTAATTTAAGTCGAGACTTTTTTTATATGCAATTTCCAGCTGGGAGTCTTTAAAGACTAAAGGTACTTTTCTCTAAAATAAATAAAAAATAATATGGTACATCATATACTCATAAAAGTTTAAAACTTCCAAGGTGCGATGGGATATGAACTTTGCTAATTAATAATCTACAAAGATAAATAAATTATCGTGTGATTAAAGGGTTTAAAAATTACCGTTATGTCTCAGAGACAGTTTTGCCAGAATTAATCAATTTTCCATGACCATTTTTTTAATCGGCGAAGCACTATTCGCGCTTACGCCGGAGATAACTTGGGACTTAGCAGGCCAGTAGGATTCAAACGCAGCCACCACAGGACCACTAAGGCCCAAATCATCCCTGACATCTTCTATCCTCACATGCTCCGCTGCGCAAGCCTTTTGGTATCTGAAACAAGTATATTTCTTAATCAATATAAAGAAATAACTTTCATACTAATTAGTCGATATTTCAATAAAAAATCATTTAATGAAATTGATTGAATTAATATTAAATATAAATTATATAAGACAAAGTAGATTCTTTGATGTTCAATCGTTAAACAATAACGTAAGATAAATAAAAACCGTAATCAGAGTTGACGTTAAGATCAAAATTTGATTTAAACTCGGAAGTGAATTTAACATTTGTACGTCCCAGGTAGAAATTGCATTTGGGGAAAGTCTCGGCTCAAGTTAGAATTATTAGCTACTATTTAGGCGTAGGCTTGAACAACAGACGTATAAATGTTTTATAATGTATTTTTATTACTTGATATACATATATTATTATATATATACTTGTGTATTATAATTATAATATAATATTAAGCGAATAAATTATGCAATAAAGTATGATAATAAAGTTAAATATTTAATTGTCATCTGGAAAAATGTAGTATGATTTATATCATCATCTGTGAAAATTTTATCATCACTTAAATCTGGATCAATAAATAATTTATTTTTTTCTTTAATTCAAGTTCGATACTTCCTCATTTTCATCTTAAATAAAGTTACCTTTTTTTGTCTGATTGTCCATTTATCAATGACTTGAATATTTCACAGTATAAAAATATCACTATTGTAATAATTTGCGGTATTTTGATTTAATTTTGTCGCAAAATTATTGCACAATTAATTATTATGTTACGAATAATCATAGATGTAACTGTCATTCACAATCAATCATCACCGATAAGTACTTTTGCGCAGCCATTAATCTTCAAAAACTGTCTAAAAACAAAACAAAATTTTGAGAATATAACAAGTATAAATTTTTAAAGTTAAGCCTAGCTAGCTGCGAGATATTTCATAGTCAATTCTCAATTGTGGTGGAATATACATTGCTGGTTCTAGTCAAATCTTGTCATTATAAGTTTTATTTTGCGAGTAACAATCTAGTTAACGCCAAGTAAATATAAAATCAATTTCTCAAGCATCGAAAAATTGAGCTAAGGCCGACGTTCCAACCTATTTTGCCTAGATACATTTCTACCTGGGGTCAGTAAACATTATTGATTAAAACATTTTAAATATTTTTTTTAGGGTACATGTTTTTTTCGAAAAATAAATTATTGAACTCGTGCGATCGCGAACGACATAAAACGACGGAAAATGTTAAGTCCGCTTTAATATTCATCAATTTCAGCCATTTATTTTTACAATAACATTCTTTGAGTGCAAAGCTTCTGTAATAAATTATTAGTCGATGTGTAGCTTTTATCGAAAAACGGGAAACGAATATTAATTAAATATATTTTCTTTTAAAACACAAAAGACTTGCTATTTGATTGAGTATGGAAACATTTCATGTTTTTCTCGTATTTCAATTAATTGAAATTTTCAATATGTGTATATACAATATTATCTGATTAGAATGCATTGCATTTAGTGTACATTAATAGTCTTTTTAATGTTGCAAAACGGTCAAGAAGTTACTTAGAAGACGTTTGTTTAGAAGGAAACAGTTTTCCGTCGTAGATATGTATAGAATAATATGTAAAATGTAATTTTCAATCAATTTGGATTCAATCAAATTTGGATTTTTCTTTAAATTCACTTATTTGAGAGGGAAGAAAGATATAGAATTTAATAAACTAAACATAACTAATAATAATTCATAGCAAATTAGAAATTTGTAGAAGCATAAATTTCATCGTTGATTTTCTATCACATTTATATGAATATTAATTTCAAAATTTAACTGCACATATGGAAATTTGAGAAGCTAAACTATGTGGGATGCGTCCAGTTGGAACATTTTAACGAAATTTTGAATAAATTTCAGAAAATTTAGAAATGAATGACAGACCTAATTAATTCAAAATGAAGAATTAATTTTATACGATGGAAAACATTTGAAGAATCAGAATATATCAATGATGTATGCTTTATACACGCGTGTGTGTGTGTATTTTAATTTTGTTATTGCTTTTTATATAACATGGCATATAAAATTAAAAAAAAATGCTGATTATAATATTATTTTATATTACTTAACTTTTATTTAGAATTTTGTCGCGAATTATAGATCACTTAAATTGAAATGATTTCAAACTGATTAAAGCGATCAGTTCGGTTGCTGTGCTGCTAAATGTCGTCAATTAAAATGCTATCGCGTTTAAATTAAAAATTTTCCATTCCATCAAGATCTTTGATTTTTTATGTGTTGAATCAGGATCAAAAATAGAAATCAAACAAGATGTTTCACTTCGCACTACACAAGCAATGATCGCGAGTATCTCGCATGCATCTTAAGCCTTTTATCTCGTTTTCTCGATAACATTTCCGGCACACCCGTTATTCCGTGGCGTGTATAAAATCACCGAGGATGACTAGGTACACTTCTGTAATAGTTTTATTGTAATGAATGAGACGAACAGTCTCGGCCGATGAACGGCTGTTAAACGCTTCCGATATATCTTTCAATACCGCATGTCAAAGGCTTCGCTCCGGAAATGAGAAAAAAAAGGATATCGAGAGAGAGAAAAATACTCGATTTTTCTCGTCGAAAAATTCAAAGTTTATCGCAAATACATATGTTAGATTATAATTCCATAATAAAATGCTTATGTGTTATTATTTTGGCAGGTGGATCATCGATCGAACTCAAGATTCGAAAAGTCGTGATCGAG